AATTGGTGAAATTAATTCTGATAACAGTGTAGGAAAATTTACAAGAAAAAAATTTAATTTGAATAAAATTTCTTCATTATTATTTTACAGAAATTATTTGTGAATTGTTTTTTTTCCTTTTTAAAAATATAAATCTGTTTATCTTTTTAGAACTTTATTCTTCCATTACAGTTACGAAGTAATATCTTACAATGTAAGCCCCAAATGAGGGATATTTTGAAATGTGCTACAAAGTTGAACAATCTGACATCTTGCTGCTCTCAACGGTAATTTATTACAGAAATGTTCTTGCACGAATTCATATTTCTCGATCAAAGCTAACCCTTCCAACCTCAAAATTTTTTCCTCTTCAATTTTACACTCATTTAAATTATAAATAAATTTTAGCTTGACCCATTAAACGTTATTATTTCCTATTATTGTTGTTATTTCTACTAATTCCATTATTAAGTAATTATTGAAATTTTCAGTAATGTTCCGGATGGATGCCTCAATGTTTGCGATGGATCCGGAAGAGTAAGCCCATACACAATGAGCCTTTCCTGTGTGCAACATTCCCAGCCAATTGTTCGTTGTTTCGGAGAAAATTTGCAATTTCATAGGAAGAATGCATTGGCTTTTGGAGCTTCAAAGCGAATGCGAATGAATTAATGAGAAATGGTAATGTTCGCGAATGATATTTGCATATTATTTACATATTTACGGCATATTATCAATTTCAAATTTATTTATTTTAATAAATAAAATGGAAATGAAATTACTTTTAAATATGAAATGTAAAATTAAGATGTTCGGTTTTGCTTTTCTATTAAAGAAAAAAAAAGAATCAATTTTCTCTCTGTTTAATTTCCTTTTTCTTTATTTCTGACATAATTGGAAATGAAGGTTTGTTTAAAATTTGATAAACTTCAAATAAAAAAAAAAACCACGAACACACACAGCGAACACATTAAAGTTTATTCGTTTTTCTTGTCATCCAAATTATATTTTAATTAGCAGACTTTCATTCAAATAATTTTAAATTAGCTTTTTCTCATAAACTTGGAACTTTTTTCTTTTTTCATTAAATAAAAATGAATTTTCCTATAAAATTTTGCAATGATTAACACGAATATTAGCATTTTATACTTTATTCTTAAATGAATATGTCACGTATACTTACTTAATGGCACGTATTTTTATTTCTCATTGTTATACGATTATTGCTGATATCGTGAATGAAAACAAAATAACAGTAATCCTTTTGTTTTTCTTTTTTTTTTTTGTAAAACCAAACATCTTTGTGTTATATGATTTTATCATTTTACATTTGCGCTAACAAAGAGCACACTATACATTAATATCGCTTCATAAAGATGTTAATTCTTGTAATCTTAAATGAATCTTCTGTTCTCCCACTCGAGGAAGAGAATGGTCGAGCGTATCAAAATTATTTTATAAATATAGATGAGCCTACGTTTGTTTGATCAGAATATTAGGCGTAATTTGGACTTTCTTGCTTTTTTGTTGTTGAAATTATCATCGAATTTGTCTTACTGATATGCTAATTGTTGAGTTTGTTGTTGTACTAATCAATTTATTCGAATAAAGATTGAAATACCTAAGTGTAAAGTTTATAATCCAAATGTAAGAGGTAAAGGAAATTGAAGAAATCGACAAGAAGAAACAGAAACCAAGAGGTTGTCCAGAATTTGTCACGACCTCATGGAAATCGTTAACAGCTATAAATAAAATATATGATCTGTGATCTTTCCAGATTATTTCGAGTAAAAACATCACTTCCAGTTTAAATATATTCAATTACATCTCCCATTATTATTGCTGTCTTCGTATTAAAATAATTGTCAATAGTTTATTACGAAAATGATTCATTCATATTTGAAATGACTCATGTATTATGCATCGCTAAAAAATTGAGCGCTTTAATTAATTTTTAAACGAATCATACAAATAATTCAAAATTGAAATTCGAAATTTAACAGAATTTACTCGGGCCATCAATTGCAATATTATATTTCTCGAAATTCTTTTTGTCGCAATTACACAATAATTATTGCGATTACAATCCTAATTACCGTTGACATTTTACCATTGAAATAATTTTTTGCGGTCAATATTTCAATCATAACTTGAATAAAGAATTGCTTTATTGGCAAGGTAGGAACGAGGAAAAAAATAAGTATTTTTACAAAAATATCCTTAAATATAATTAATGATAGTGTAGGTAAGTGCATTTTGTCGGATTTAAACTCCTTTCCGGTTCGTACAAATATTGTAATCCGGGAACTTTTAGATCTTCCATCTAATAACCTTCATTTATAATCATCACTAATGAGCAATAATCGAAAAAATTATTTTGCTCTGGTCAGTCATATTGATCGTTATTTTTTTTTAAGAAAAGATTATTTGAAAAGAATCCTAACAAATAAATTTAATTGAAACAAATAAACACATTGGAACATCGAGATGCTCAGAGTTCATTGAATTTCAAATTTAAATTTCTTTGAGAAATTTTTGAGAAATGAAATGATACCAAGCATGTAGTACGACCTCATCTAGTCTTCTTTCAAATGCTACATTTGAAAGTGACTTTAATGAAAAAAGCAAATAAACACTTCATGAATTATTATCATCAAAGGTAAGATATCAACAAATGCTATGCACATTTAATAAATCCGATCAGATAGTTATGACTGAATGAAGTAGTTTCCCTTTCATTTACTTTTCTTTTTTTAAACCGAAATGCTTACTTTGAAATAAACCTTTTCAAACATTTTAATGCTAGTTTTTTTTTCAATAATTAGATCTTTTGCAGATTTTCCTTTCATAGACATGCCATTCAAGTTTATTCAATTCAACATTTTCGTATTAAACAAGATTTAATTAAATGTAATAACAAAATGTTTTTTTTTCTTTTAACTCTATCCATGCATTAGGAATATTCAAAATACCGAAAAATGAAATTTGGATAAAACAGATTTTGCAATCAAGATTTTAATTAAAATGCAAACAGAATTTGTTAATTTCCCCTATATTTTAAAAGGAATTCAGAAACTTAAATAATGCATTGTAGCAATCAATTTCAGGCCTTAAATGTTTACCTAATTTGTGCACAATTTGGTAATGCAATGTTGGATATATGATAATGTGTTAAGGCAAAAACAATAATAATAAG